CAGCACTGACTGCAGCGTTCACCTTATAACATGCCTTATAAAGACACTCATGGGAGAAGACTTTCAGAACTGTTTCAGAGTGGCAAGAATGTTGGGATAAGTGTGTTCAAGTTCAAAGAGACAGGGAGTTTAAGAGGAATTAATGGCAATGTGTCTTTTACTGTAATAAATTTAAACATTCTTTGATCCCATCTCATTTGCCACACAGAAGAAGCAGCTTTAAGTGCCATGTAGAGTAGGCCACTTGCTTTCTGCTCTACATTTGTGTTTGAGACTGTCTCATAAGGAGATACTTCTTTACACTGGGAATAGAGACAACTAGGCAGTTAAGCCTGAGCCACTGATGTGCAAAGGAGCAAATTAAACATTTACTTAATAAGCCACTGAAATTTGGGATTGTGTACAACACTTCAAAAATTAAGGGTTTTTAAAAATAATTGATTTGTTTAGCTCCATGAACACACTCTTGCTTTACAAACCTAAAGCAGTTGTAAGAGAATATCCATATAGATATTCATTGCTAGTAAATAAAATCTTGCATATTCTTTTATCACTAGGTTTTAGCATGAAGTTTCATTTGAATAAAGTCAGTGGTAGTTTAGACAGATTTTTATTTACTTAAATGTTTTTTGAGGAAGAATTAAAGTCACCAAGCAAAATCCAGAGATAAAGCCTATCACATTAGAAGGACAGGATTGCATGCTTACCTATATTGAAAACTTCATATTAATTTAAAACAAACTTTATAGATGAAGATCAATTAGTAAATAATATAGCTAATAATAGAGGAGATAATGTATATTCACTTAAGTCATGTTTTAGGGGATTTTAAGAGTTAAAATACTTTCCTATGTCTCATATACATGCTTAAACTTATAGATCAGATGTAAATTTTTATTTAAGACAGTTCAGCTTTTTAGTATAAATCATGATTATTGGATTTTACAGGTGGCATACAAAGACAGAAAAGAAAGAATTCAATGGCAGTAGCAGTTAATAGTGACAGCCTATCATGATGAAACATTATCTCTAAGGGTAAAAATTCAATTTTATGGTCACAATGGTTGTGCTCAACACACTGTGTGACACTGAAGTGTCTGAGTTTTTGCCACTGTTTACCATCTTTGGGAGTCATTCCTTCCTCAGTGACAGTGAGAGACATCAAGTTCATTTAACAGAATGCCACCAGTGAAATCCACCTAGAATCTCTGCAAATTATTTCTCTTGCATCCCTCAATATCTCTAGATCTACTCAGGAAAAGCAGAGAGAAAACCAATGGAAATTCAGCAAGTTAGAAATTGGATTCAGCAAAAAAGAGGATAGTCACATGAGCAATAAATATTTATTTTAGATCAGCAAAGGAAAAAGATGATAGCTGGTTATCTGTCACTGATCCTTTTCTTTGTGTTTCCAAAAACCAGCTACCCCTCTTTTTTTTTCTCTTTCATTTCTAAAGTGGATTTTGTGCTATACATCAGTTGGATAAAAGTTCCAACTGTTGCAACTTTTAGAAATTTGTCATAACTCAAAAACTTATCTCACTTTAGGTTAAATATTCATTTGTATGATACATTCAAACAATATTTACTAAAGCAAATAGTTCATAATGTGATTGTTTAAGAAAAAAGTTAAGAAAATATTTTATTCAGGAAAATGACACTATCATTCTAATAGGAAGAACTTTACTAAAATGGCTTCAGGCTACTATGAAAATGTATGAATAACATTAATTTGGAGGAACAATTCTGTTTTTCAGTGATTCATAGAAGAAAGTAATTCTATGATCACAAAAATTTGTGCCTGAAGTGAGATACATATAGCTTTCAAAGGCTCAGCAAAAAGGCATCTACTTTGAGTCAATGTTTAGTGGAATTTTTATTGTTCTGTTTGAATGAAAATCTTTGTAATATTTGACTAGATTCAAGGTTATCAGCAGTTAAAATCTAAGATGCTAATGTCAAGACAGTTGTCATTTACCTTTTGTCTTCTAAAACACATGCCTACTGTTTGAAATATTTTCAAGGAAGTTAGGGTTTTCTTGGAAATGGGGCTTTCTGGAATTCCAGATGTGGAAATTTAGTGTGGAGATACTTTGGCAATGAAATCAGTGGGGTAACTTTATAAAAAGATTCTAAAGTCTTACATAGCTATGATTCATCTGTCATGGAGGGTTTTTTTTTTCTTTAAAATTTAAGAAAAGTACGTGTACCTTTGGTATTTATTTTACTCCATATGAATGATGTATGTTATGTAGCTTGCCTAATTGAAGAACAAAGTTTTCCTTATCCAGAAACTTCACTTGTATTGCCAATTTTTTTTTCTGAAGCTGTTTTTTCTGGTAGGAAAAACTGTTGTCTGGAGTTGGATTTGCTATTTTGAATCTTTTACAGATCTGGTTGCTTGTTACCACTAGTACATCTTCTTATAATAAACTAAGCCACAAAAGTCAGATGCTACTTCATATAGCCACCTAAATTTGAAAGAGTTCTCAAGATTTCTTGAAGCCTTTGCAGGGGTCAAGGAGATTTACAACCACCCCAAAAGTGCCGAAATATTTTGGGGATTTATAGCATGGTACCCTGCAGCTTCAGCTCTGGATAGTAATAGCTAGTGTTTGACTACTAACTAACTGTCTCATTTACCAGCTCGGTGGCTTTGGGTAAGTGTCTCAGTTTTTTTGAAATTTAACTTCTTCATCTGACAAGGAACAGTAAGAATATCTAGCTTATAATTGCTAAGAAGATTAAATAATACATTATTTATAAAAGTGTCCATTTTAAAAAAATAAAAAATTAATTGTCGCAAAAGATACATGCCATCATTCCCCTTCAAGTAGTCCCCTCCTTGTTTTTTTTTTAACCACACTTATTTCATAATAGCGCCTATTGACCCTGACATACTTTTCAAAATAAACCTTTTGAATGTAGCTAAGAAAGAACGTAGACTTCAGGTCAAGCAGCCTTGGTTCATACCCTAATTTGATCACTAATTAACTGTGACCTACAGTAGTCACTTAATATTTCCCGCTTTTGTTTGCCAAATGAAGGTTTGGGATAAAAAGGGTACTGCCTTCCAAGAATAACAAATTATAAATTAAAAAAAAAGTAAAATGCCTTGGTAACTATAGGTACAGTGTGATATGTATAATCAATCCTCCTATCTGTGGATTCTGTATCCTTACACTCAACAAACTATAGATAGAAAATAATTTTTTAAAATTTATTTTTATGTTGGGTGTGGTGGCACATGCCCGTAATTCCAGCACTCCGGAGGTTGTGGCAAGGTGATTGCTAAGAGTTCCAGGCCAGCCTGGGATAGGTAGCAAGAATTTGCTCCCAGCACCCCCAAAATTACTCTTGGGCCAAACATGTGCAATACATTCTTCTTCTTATTCCCTGAACAATACAATATTATAACTATGCAGCATTTCCATTGTATTAGGTACTATAAGCAATCTAGAGATGACTTAAAGTAAGAGCAGACTGCATAGATTATATGCAAATATTATGCCATTTTATGGAAGCGATTTGAGCATCTGTAGAATCTGGTATCCACAAGGTCCTAGAACCCATCGCCTGCAGACACCAAGGGACAGCTCTACTTATAAGTAATTATAGGTAAAGTTACTTAAAATTACTTGGCCTGGAGTAAAAACTCAGTATTTGACTGTTTTCATTATTACTGTTAATTGACTAGTTGACCTTAAGCAAAATATTTTAATTTTTTCTGAACTGCAGTTTCCTGTGTGTAAAATGCAGATAAATTCCTTCTTTGTAAGCTGGTTAGGCTCTGGAAGCTTCCAGCTCATAATTCATTATTATTGAGAATATTGTTTTGCTTATATCCCTTTTGACTTCTGTTGTCTTTTCTGTTTCATATCATTATATATTTTAAAACTTACTGTCTCTCGGCTGTAATTTATCTAAATTTGAAGGTTTTGCCAAAAGTGATAGATACATAACCGTATCCAGCCCTTCCACCTGAGGTGCTGAAAGTTCCCCTCCATTGCAACGCCTTCCCTCAGGGTTAGTCCCCTGCTCTAATTCAAAAGGGACAGCAAGACTGTGGCACAGGCTGACTCCTTTGCTGTCATCCACAGATGGTCCCTGGATGGGCCTTGGGGCGGTTCCTCTCTGTGGGTGAAGAACTGCGCATGGCAGGGCTGGTCCTGGCTCAGAAGGGTCGCTTAGACGCCCATCTTAGGTGCCCTCCTGGCTCTGGAAAAGTGGCTCTCTTCTCCCTGAAGATCACATCCTCCCTCCCTTTCCTGGCCTCGGTCCTCCACAGCCAGGCCCCACCTGCTCTTACTCCAGATAAAATTTTCTCTTCAGCCTTTACTGCGCATGCTCCATCTACCCAGGGCCTTCCCTTTTAAATGCAAACACCTAGTTTGAGAAACATTGTATTTGCCAGCTGAACGGGCCTGACACTCTGGAAGCCAAGGAAGCCCCTGCCTTTTGGGCAAACAGCCAGGAAGTGCAGGGAAGAGAAAAACACAACCTTGAAAGTAACTATTCTAGGAACTTTTCTCACTCCCCAGGTAAGGCCAAAGTGCGGCTTTGTTGTCCTGTAGGTTTGCAGTGCACAGGTCTACTTGATCTAAACAATCCTATCAGCTCTGCATCTTAGGGAGCTGTGCGAGCAAGGTTACCCTCAACTTTTAATCATGCTTCTGAGCAAACAATAAAATTGCCAATGAAATCTTGTTTGAAGAAATCCAGAAGCCCAGGGAGCCAGCTACCTAATGAACCTGGCTGCTGGACCCGCACAACCCAGTGCCGCATACGCGTGGCGATGGGAGAGGGACGCAAGGGGCTATGGTGCACAGGATTCTGCTGCCTAGACTTCGACCCACTCAGGCTTTTCCCCAAAGCCCAGAACCACTCGGCACCAGCGACTCCTATGGAGTTTTCACACTGGGTGCAGAGAATACTAATTATGACTGTGCATTTCCAAATTTGCATACGGTGAGTGAAATCCGTCTGCTCTCTTTTCCTAGAGTCCTAGTTGCAACCAAGTGTGCGAAATGACAAGCTGCCCTCCAAGTGATCAAGGCCCCCCAAACATCTAATGTTCAGTTTATCCTGCAGCGTGGAAGATAGGAGCTGCCCTGTGTGTGACAAGTTCTTCAGAGAGACTGGTTTCAAAGAGGAGATGGTGCACATGAAAGGAAGACATGAGTTCTCCCTGCAATGCTGGGGCCACACACATGCAGGGGTGGCCGGCAATCATATCCTACCTGTGAGCCCATGAGCAGCGGGTGCAGACCTTGGAGCTGAAAGGCACATGGGGAACCACAGCAAAGTTAGGGTATCAAGGGCTTATCCTCGGAACACTGGCAGAAGTGCTTGCACACACATTCGTGTCCACTCCGTGGAAAAACTTCAAAACAAGTCGGGTAACTGGACAGAAGGATGCAGACCACTGAAAGTCCCCTTAACTGTGGTGGATGTTGAAAAGCTTTTAACCAGAAGGGGACATAGCAAACTCAGATGATTAAGCATATCATACCAGGCCTGTGCCTTTTGTCCTGCCACCTTTTCTCAGAAAGGGACTCTTCAGTTCCTGGAACGGAGAGTTTACTCAAAGGTCAAGAATGGTCGAATCTATAACTAGTACAGTTAGAAATGGGGAAGTTGAGGGAGCCGCTCCCTTCCCTTCATTCAACTATGAACACAGCACCACCCCTCATGATTATCCAAGTTTAGGAGGTGCAATGCCCCAGGCGGCAGATTCTGACACCAGTGAGCTAAGGAATGAGAGACATCTGGAGCCAGAGGCATCTGACCTTTTAATACCGGAAGTCGTGGAGAGTTCTCCTTCCTCTTCCTTTCTCTGTTTGTCCTTCTGCCTGTTCTGCCACTACCCTGCAGTGTTCTTGCCCTGCACAAGAACCTGGACAATTTTTGGCCCATGTAACTGTAACATAACTGAACAGAGTATAGATGTTTATCTTAAAAGTTTAGGTAGCTTAAACACTCATGTTATCAAGATGAATATTTTCTCCTTACCCCTGATCCCACAAGTTCCATAGACTGCATTATGGGAGATGGGGCCCCCACGCAAACCTGTTCAGAAGGTTACTGTCCGGAAGACTGGTGTTCCGGTCCCAGACACACCTGGGTGAGAGCCACTTCTCATTACCAACTTAGGCACAGTGGACAACTCACCAAGTACTCTTCCCTTTGGTATTTGCAGAGGATGTGTGCATATTATGGCATAAACAGGGAAATAGTGTTAGGCAAGGTATCAATGAAGTTGTTAAGTATTACTTTGTTTTTGGAGCAGTATGTTCCACAGTCAAAATCGGATCCTAAACCACTCTTTACATTGTGGTTTTGGCCAGAAAGAGTCTGTCAGCAGAGATAGCAGGATGTAAGTCCTCATTAAACAAGGGTTTCTGCCTCATGGGGCTGTCCAGGTAAGGGTTTTTTTTTGTGGGGGGGCACTGAGTGTACTTGTTTTTTTTTCTTTGCCTGTGTTGTGTGAAAGATTATTATTTAGGTTCCTTTTTCTCAATTTTTTTTTTTGTGGGGGGGGGCACTGAGGGTACTTGTTTTTTTTTCTTTGCCTGTGTTGTGTGAAAGATTATTATTTAGGTTCCTTTTTCTCAGGTTACAAATCTAATTAATGTCTGTGGGGTTTTTGACTTGAAGTTTATAAATCTTTAGTTGAATTACACTAGACTCTTATTTTACTGAATTTTTCATGTTTAGAATGGGATGCTTTTGTGGGGGGGGGCACTGAGGGTACTTGTTTTTTTTTCTTTGCCTGTGTTGTGTGAAAGATTATTATTTAGGTTCCTTTTTCTCAGGTTACAAATCTAATTAATGTCTGTGGGGTTTTTGACTTGAAGTTTATAAATCTTTAGTTGAATTACACTAGACTCTTATTTTACTGAATTTTTCATGTTTAGAATGGGATGCTTCGATTGTTGGTGTCACGTGTGCCTGCTCTTAAAACAAGTTAGTGACAGCTGAAGTCTCGTTCAGCTGAGTGAGAAACGTGAAGGAAGTGATTCCTAGAGGGTAGCATCACACTGGAAAGTGTAAAATATTTTAAACTATTTCTTATGCCTAGTTTCATCATTGTTTATGTCTGTCCATGGCTTCTGACTCTGAGCTTTTGAAGGGCTACAGAAAATGAAAGAAACCAGCGCCTGCCAAGGATCACTCTGCACACTGACAGAGCTCTGCGAGAGATCTTTATTAGAGAGCCATGGTGGCCCGCTCAGCGGAAAGGGAACGAAGAAGAGGAAAAGTGGGAAGGGGCTTGGTTATATGGTGGGGACTGGTGTGGGTGGGTCGGAGATCACGTGGGCTGCATGGCAGCCACTCGGGGGCCACGCTTGGACATCCATTCCTTACACACACAACCTCTGTTCGTGCGCCGGTTGTATGACGGGTGATGCGTGAGGTAGGAAGTGGAAATTTAAAGGTGAAGAAGGAAGTTATGTATCAGAATGGTGGCGGCCATTCCAAGACACTTTATCTTACAGAAAAGACTTAGCTCTGGAGTAGATTTTGATTTTTTTAGAATGCTAGGGAGGATTTTAGCCCAGAATGGTTACAATTAGTTGACTTCATTGCGGGTGAGATATTCTGGTGCAGTGTAGTTACTTACAGCAGAATAAGAATTATACAAAGACTGTCATTTAAGAAAGTATTACAATTCACTGAAAATACTGTAACCAGTAAGTTTTCCTTTATGTTTTATGTGCACCTTATACAATAGTCTGAAGGTAATTTTATACAATATTTTTAGTACACTTTCACTCCAACTTGTCAGGTATATTTTCCATTTGTGGTGTACTGTGCCCCAAAAGTTTGCATTTTGGAACATTTCAGTTTCAGATTTTTAGATTAGGAGTGCTTGACCTGTGTTCTAACCTATATAGATGCTTCTTGATATTCAAATAATATATATTATATTTTCGACTACTTTTCGAGACTATATGGCTATAAATGTGTGTGTGTATCTGTGTGTGTAGGTGCATAAAAATGTCATTAACTTCTCATTTTGCTTGCCACAAATGCCTGAAATATCTTCTTTAATATAAGCCAGTCTTTGGTTTTCTATTATTTTGTTTGTTTGTTTTTGTTTATGTTTTTTTGTGGTACCGGGGATCAAACTCAGAACCTTGAGCTTGTGAGGCAGGCACAGCACCACTAAGCTAAATCCCTGTCCCAGTTTTCTATTATTTTAAACCTCAAGGCTGTCATGATTGATCTTTCAAACTTATAGTTGTTGTTTTAGTCAGTATTGATGTATTTATTCTGCTTGTTGTTAACATATTTGTCTAACAGTGTGTATCAGATTTATGATGTATTTATTAGGTGTGATGTATGATATTTTGGTCCAGATTCAGCCATTTTTCAGTTGCAATTTGTAGTATATGAAGGCTACTGTGTGATGGGCTGTAGTTTCCCTAAACATCAAAATATGATAAAGCCTTTTTTTCCCTTTTGATCTTTTACCATAGAAGGAATTTTAGGATGTTCCAAGAACACTTCAAGTTTACTTTTGAGTTAATTAAATAAAATTTGTTCATGCCTTTCTGTGGGGGAAAAAAAAAAAGAAGTCTGTTTAGCTTGGTCTAATATCATGGTGTTACAAGCTTTGATCAGAAAGACTTTTTCATGTAATACCTGAAAATGTGCTTGGAAGTTGCCTTCTGAAGAAGACAGGAACACACATTGTGATGCCTGGTATAGGGCCAGAAGTCAGACATCTCTGATGCTCTCCACGGTTGAAGTATTTGATTTGTTTGGTTTGTTGACTTTTTTTTTGAGACAGGTCTTGAACTAACTATGTAGCTCAGGCTGCCTCAAATGCACTGCAATCCTCCTGCCCCAACCTCCTGAGTGCTGGGATTACAGGCGTGTACTACTATGCCCAGCTATGGTTCTAGTATTTTATAATTGGTCCTCAAAAATACTTATGGACTATGGTAACTTCTTTTAGAAGGCAAGAAAATGTGACAAATTTTAGGAAGATATCCAATGAGATAATGATAAATATGTTTTGGTACCTAAAATGTTAGTATTTGGGAGATCTAGAAAAATGAATTTTCCAGGGCTCTCCTCCTGCTCCCTGCCCCAGCAGGCTGCTCTGTATGGTGACATCAAGGGGTTCCTTGACATCTGGCTGCCAATCAGGGTCTTGGTAGGAGAGGCCCAGGGCAATGTGAGGCCAGTTAATGCATTTCCTGCCTCCCTTGAGGCCCATTTTGGGTGGTCCACTTCTCTTAACCAAATTTCTCAGTGAGGTTTTCTCTACACACTTCTGTCTTTCTGTGGTCCAAAACATCTTCTCCCTTTGTCTTTTCTGGTGTACGTGGCCTCTGTACTAGTGATTGGAGATACTTCACCATTTTCCTATGGTCAGCTCACACTTTTGGAAATAGATATTTTCCAGTAAGTTCTTCTTGAACTATCTTTATTGAGCGGACCAGTTGTTTCTTGTACATAGGTTTTTTTTCCTTCCAGAGTAATTGGCTCTTTGGTGTATCTATATAGCTCTCTAATATACTTGGGAGGCATATTGATACTCTAAGTTGATAAATATTAGTTTATTTTAAATTGCCTAAATATTTTTTGCTAGAGTTTAGATCAGGTCTAATCTCTGAATCATAAACTCTGAGGCGTAATGGTCAGGTGCAGAGAATCTGGATAAGGTTGCTTGGCTTTTAATTTTAGTTCCATCTTTTTCTTTTTTTTTTCTTTTTTTTGGTACCAGGGTTTAAACTCGGGTCCTTGTGCTTATGAGGCAGGCAGCAGAACCACTGAGCCAAATCCCTGGCCAATTCCACCATTCTATCTTTTTTTGTTTTGTTTTGTTTTTTGAGACAGGGTCTCACTATGTAGTTGCAGCTGACCTGGAACTCACTATGTAGTTGTGATTGACCTGGAACTTGCTATGTAGCCCACGCTGGTCTTGAACTCATAGTAATCCTCCTGCCTCAACCTCCTGAGTGTTGGGATTACAGGCATGCACCACCATGCCCAGTTCCATTCCATTTTTATTGTGACTTCACACAAGTCATTTAACCGTTCTGGTTCTCAGTTTATCCATAAAGGATGGAAAATAATAATAAGTGAACTAAAGATTGTTATGAAGATTTTAAAAGTTTACATTTATGAAGCATTTAAAACAGTGTATTGTATATATTGTACATATTAAATGCCTATTAGACATTATGATTTTATTGAGTTCCTATTGTGCTCTATGCAGTATGTCAAACTTTAAAAAATATTTCATTCAATTCAGTTCTTAGGAAAATTTTGTGAGATACATATAATATTTTATAATTTACTTAAAAAGAGAAATTGAAGGTTAAAATAATATAGTAA